CAATAATAATAATAATAATAATAATAATAATAATAATAACACCTTTATTTAGACACGATAATGTTTAAAGCTGAACAGCTTTTGGGGTCGCGTGTAAATCCAAATAAACTCTAAATTAAATAAATTCAAATGATGATGGTTTTTGAGGAGAGGGGAAAACCGGAGTACCCGGAGAAAAACCTCTCGGAGCAGAGTAGCGAACCAACAAACTCAATCGACTTATGACGCCGGGTCCGGGAATTGAACCCGGGAAACATTGCTGGAAGGCGAGTGCTCTCACCACTACGTAACATGTAACTTAAACAAGTGCTAATGCTAGAAGATTGCCCAGTTTCAAAATGTCATCTTTTATTGGTTATGAAGTTTCAAGGTGTACATTTTCTAGGTAAGGTTTTTTTTTTAGACCACAGTTCATGATACAAAAGCTGAGCCAGGGAATTATGTAAATAAAAGTGCTTATGACTTTCTAAAGACGTTGGCAAATTGCAATATAGGTGACCACCTTTAACCTCCAAGGACTTAAGGGAAGTGTTGAGTTTTTGTTTCTTTTGTAGCCTCACTGTATTGTTTAGGAGATAAGTGAAAGGTAGATCAGAGATGTTTGTGTCAAGAGAAGATAATGGATCATTATTTTCTCTTGGTTTTTGTCTAATTTGTCGAGTACGCAGTCTTTTTATGGATCAAGAGTTTCAACTCATTCTCTTTGAAGTTAAATGGCCATCTTATTGCTTATTAACAGTCATCTCATTTGTTTTTAAAGTATCACACTGGTAGACCTAAATTTTTGATTAAACTTTTGTGAAGGTGTACAAAATTTAACCAAATTATGCATGTCAGTGTCGTTTATTTATTAACTTGCTTACATTCTTTAGCTTAAGTACTCGCCTTCTCGCTCACCGATCCATTTATTTATTAGTATTTATTCATTTATTAATTTTATTATTTTGTATATCAGGACGCAGTGTCCTCTCTGTCTCTTCGTGGATTTCTGAATTATTTTGGCCCTCAAAGGTTTGGCTTGGATGACAAGGAAGTAAATGCTTGCGATATTGGACTTGCTATGTTACAAGGAGACGCGGTAATGAATCTCAGTATTTTACGACTTGTGGTTGAAGTTTGTTCTCAAAATGATAATAAATTATGTGTTATGCAGGAATCGAAAAGGTAAAGTGAGGTCCTCCATTCGCGTCCACCTTGAAATTCAACTGCAACAGTTCGGCCCAGAGTCCTAATGCGTGCCTTGTGTAATGATGTTTCACCAGCTGTATGCCTTTATTATCTCCTTGATGTGCATGTTGAATGAAACTTTTTTTTCTCCTGTTTAGATTCAAGCAGTGAAACTCCTTCTGACTCCATCGGAAAATAATCCAGACCATCCTGTGAACTCTGCTAAAAGGTAAGAAATAGGCATAAGAAAAAAAACTTTGCGCTCGAGTATTCTAGAACCACGCTAAAATATTTACCATTGCCAATCAGAATAAAGGAAAATATCACGAAGAGCCAATGATAACTCAAGCTAAACGCTCATAACCAGCGCGGGAAATCCCGCGTGAATAACCCGGACAGACCAAACGTCATTTTGGTACACTATTGAAAGATTTAGTGATAAAAACGAGCGATAAAAAATATGAACGACGTTTCGAGCGCTCCACGGTCATTTTCAAGTTAGAGTTCACGAGTAAATTTCCGCATAGATACGATTTCTGAAACAATGCAATGAAGGTAAAAGCTAAGTATTTAGCTTACTTAGCTTTTACCTTCATTCCATTGTTTCAGAAATCGTATATGTGCGGAAATTTATTCGTGAACTCCACCTTGAAAATGACCGTGGAGAGGTCGAAAGGTCGTTCATACTTTTTCTCTAAATGTTTTAGTTAGAACTTATTACTATTGAAAGAGCATCGAAAAGCAGTCTTCTTTTGGCAAAAAAAAAAAAAAGAAGTCAGCTTTGTCGGAGAAGACATGCCTAACTAACCATGGATAATTCTAAAATTATCACCATTAATCAACGTAACCACTAGCGCCTTTGTTTGGAAGCCTTAGGGGCTGACCATTTAATTTTTGAGGGGGGGTGGGTGATTTTGAAAAAAAAATTCCTGCAAGCGCTTGTTGGAAGAAAAAAATTGCATGCAGCCCAAATGTGACAGAAAAAATGTACCAAAAAATCGGAAAAAAATATTCTGCGCAGCAGATTGCTAGAAAAATTTCTTGATAACCAGAAATCACCCACCCCCCCTCAAAAGTTAATTGGTCGGCCCCTTTAGCATATCAACTCCGCCCACACTCCTTTAAATCGTGATGATGGCGGCTTACTACCTGACGCTATTTACACCTCGTCAGAAAAAAAAGGGCAGTTAATTAGTGAGCATATAAAAAGGACCTCGCGTCACAACGATTAGATCACTCCTGATGAAGGCACTAGACAGGAGTGTCGAAACTTTGGGTCTATGAACAATAACTTCTCGGTTACATTCATTAAATCTTTAAACAGAGTAGCATCAAACCATTTCTTATTGTCCACCTGGTTGCTTTTGTGAACTTCAATGTAACTTGTGTCTGATTGGTTCATAGTTGGGGCAAGTTTTTTTTTGTTTCACCAATCACAGGGCAAAGGAAGACAAACCCAGAATTACTTTTGACCCTCAACTGAAACTTATTCTCAGGTGAATCTATCTCTTCTCCTTACTGAAGATCCGTTTGTAACATTTCTTTTCTTTGTCACAATCTTCGTTCGTGTCAGGTATTACTGCGAGACAAGTGACGTACAAGGTACACTGGGTAAGATGCCTGGTTACAAAGTTCGCGAAACCCTGGTGCTCAAAGGACTTCATAGACATGGGACCGACGTGGTCAGTTAATCCATCCCTTGCGCATGTCTAAATGTGTACGGTTAATGACTTGTGCCCGGGATTATCTGTACATTGAAAAGTTACTAGTCGCAAAAAAAAGTTTTGTGCTGCGTCGATAGGCAGACTCTTGGTTCGAAACGCTAGTAACCAATTTTGGACACCGGCGTGCGATTTCGGACGCTGCTGTTGTATTTTGGACTCTGGAGCCTGATTTCGGACACAAGTGTCCGCTTTTGGACACTAGTGTCCGATTTCGGACTTTAGTTTCCGAGTTTGGACACAAGTGTCCGATTTCGGACACTATTGTTCGATTGTGGACACAAGTATCCTATTTTTCAGACACTAGTGCCCGATTTTAAAAGACTTGCTAAATTTTCCATAACAAAGAGTTATCAGTCATGAATTATTAATCAAACGTTCCTGGTGTGGCAGTATCTAGTGT